GGAACAAGTAGGGTGGCCGCACTGTCCTCTTTAGTAATGAGCTGGCCAGTGACTCTGCGAGCCAACGTTTATGTTTGTTTGTGGGACTGTGAAAGTGATGTTTAACCTTGAAATATTTGCATCCTGTGCTGTTGCATAAATAGGAGTGTTAGTATCTCTTGAAGGTTCTGCAGCAAAAACATTACGGTGATAAAATTTTCTGCATTGAATTCTGGGCAGCTGTGTCTATGAGGATCAGATCATATGTGTGTAACCACTTACGTATGGTCCTTTCTGGGTGGGGGTAGTGGGGCAATTATTGGGATTATTCCTGCGTAAATTTTGTTCTTTGTTGCTTTGCATTGAGTTTTATTTTCATACTTGGTATGCACCATATACTGTATGTATCATGTGTCTGCAAGTATTTATTTGTGTTCTTGTTTCTCCCCTATAGACACTGTGAGCTAGCAGGGATAATGCATGGGAAGGCGGTAGCAGTTGGCATGTAGAAGTTCATGTCATGGTGCTTCCATGTTTGCTTCAGCAATTTTCCACTTGGAAAATAGCTTTATTTTGGCAGAAAAAAAAAACAAAAACAGAACTTCCTTGCTCTCTGTTTGCAGAGGTTGATAATGTAAAACTTATGCTGCAGCTAGTGCCTGGTGAAATATGGCTATTGCAGCAATGGCTGACTGTAACTGGCCAAATTGGATGCCACTACACAGTCATAAACAAACAAACTAGCATTTGCATCTTGCTGCTATTACCCCCAAGTATCTGACAGGAATAACAGTGGTCGTGTTCATCGTGTTGCCTCGTATATAAAATGAATTAAGAATCATAATTTCATTTGTATTTGTTTGTGTTAATTTAATTTGCTGTTAAGCATGATCAGGCTTAAGGTTTCATCAGTCAGAGGCAGCTACATCAGTAACACTGTTTCTTGCCCTAAGTAAAAGCAATGAAGATTTTTTGTTTTCAAAACCAGATGCCAGACTAGTGAAGATGATGCCTTTACTTGCTTTACGTCCATGATGTACTTTACATATTCTTTTACTTTACATGTTTAGCTGACTTCTGCTTTAGCTTTGCTTATGTATGCATGTGGACATACAAGTCTTTGTGCGTTCTCCTTTATGGGCTTAACTCTGCATTTTTTTAATGCGCTTGTTCATTTTATTGTATCAAATAAAATGAAACAGTGTTTGAGACATTGCTGTGCTGTGCTCCGCTGCACACAATGCTTACCTAACAAATATTCATCTACAGGCAGCTCTCAAGGAGTTGTTCTTGAATTCAAGATCTCTTTGGACAAGAATACAAACACCACAAAGGCTTATGCGCTTTACATCTGTTCTGTCAGCTGACTGTGTTGTAAATTCCTCTGACAGAGCGCAGGTATAACTCTTACTCTTCCTTGTGCTCACAGGACCAATAACTGATCATATAGCTTTGCTTAGTTCCTCTCCAGTTCCCCCTTAAATGCCCTGACACGCTGATGCTCCTGATTTGCCACTTCACTGAACCCTAACCATGACATTTCCTCTGCTGCCAGGGGTTGTTCCCTCCTGCTTTGCTCCCTGTCCCCCTACCTCTGCCTTGTCTGTCTCCCACCGCCTCTTCTCCCTCCTACTTATTCAGATTCCTACTCCTCTCAGTTTGCTATGTGTCTCATAGCATCTCTAAATATAACCAAGCATGTCTACCTCCTCTCCTTCCTCTTCCTCTCTGTGCCTCCTCTTCATCTCAGTCCTGTCTGACAAATTTAAGCGTGCCTAGACAATCCGATCTGACATGCCTTTACATAACAATTCAATCCACGGCACCTTCCACCTCCTCAGCACAGTGAGACCCAAAGGTGTGTTATTGGCATGGATGCAATTCTCAACATCCCTGAAAGACTCAGGCTCAGAATATTATTAGATCTGCGCAACCAGAGTCTTGGCTTCTTGAATTTTGCATGCATCAGATATGTTTCTCAGAGTCAGCATGGCTTAGCACAAGGAGATCAGATGTGACCTTAGCATTATCATCACACACACATACAGAGTCATAAAACCACACACACAGGAAAGAGGATAGAAGCCTATATTCACAGTAATGCCTTCTCAGAGAGGTAGGCAGCTAGCAAGGAGGCTGTAGTAAATCTTAAATAATAACCGCAAAGAGTTATGACCCTTGCTGGCATTATGCCGTCGCACACCTTCCTCCTCCTGCCTGGTGATTTATCTCTTGTCTGCCAATAAAGCTCAACATGAAAATGTCACATGTGGGAAAGGGCTGGCCTCACCCACAGGAGTGAGGCCATGCAGCATTAAGAGGGTCTGAATTCATTAAAGTGTCAGCGTAAATTTTGATCCGAGGGTTGTTCGTAGATCGAGAGGGAGGAAGGGATGTGAGACCAAAAGAGGCGGCAGGAGCGAGTGGTGGTGGTGGAGGAAGCAAGAAAGATACGACTGACAGGGGTGGAAACAAAAAAGGAGAGGGAGCAGATGGAAGAAAGATAGAAAGAGGGCAGGATCAGGATGACACCCCACTGAATGAGTAAGGGTAATGGTCCTGCGACGAGTGGATGAAGCTCAGAGGAAAATCTGTCTGGGTGAAGGTTGACAATAGAGTACTTTTTAAGAGGTGGGGAGGAGGACTGACAACTGGTGTGAAATGGCATATTAATGGATAATGGGAGAAGTGGAAACATGATTTTTATCTAGGGAGAATTAAGAAAAAAAATCTTCATCAAGGTCAAATGGACAGTGTAGATCAGAACAGGTCAGTAATATGCTACAGACGTGCCTTTGCTTTTGTTTTCTAGCCTCGGTAGTGCAGGATTCAGTCCTCCCCGGCTGAGTGAATGTGTACTATTACCCAGAGTGATTTGCTTCTTCTATGTGAATCATAGTTAAACAGCTCATCTGTATACACTGCAGTGATAAGAAAGTCAAATGAGAAGGAATCCCGTGGTTTGTTTCTAAATCCATTAATATATCTAATATATAGTATGTATGGCAGCTATTTCCCCTCAAGGTTCTGTCTGCTGTGACTTTAATCATAATTAATCCTAATAACCATGTTTTTAAAGGGGTTGACGGTGGGGGTGCGGTTGTGACAAAGATCCTCCTCTTCAGAGCTGGAGAGAGAAACAGAGAAAACAGTGGACGTAAATAAAAGTGGCAGCCCCTCGGGTATCTCTCTCCCTAAATAACCTGGGAGCTGTGAAGGAGTCACTAATTACCCCTCCCACAGAAGAGAGGGGGAACAGAGTAACGGCCAGTCACACTCGCACACAGAATTAGCCCGGGCCTGTCAATGTCAGAGGCTATCACAGGGAGATAACAAGGCACAGATCCATATATTGTGTAAGGCAAATGACAGCATCACGCCTGACTGCCAGTGGCACGGGCAGGAAATGGAAGTGATATATATACGTATCAAGGCCATAGATTGTCAAAAGTGGAGCGCAGAATCAGAGTGACGAGAACATACTACTAACTACAGCATGTCGGACAGACTGTCATACAGTGACCAGATGAATCAGAAAGGATGTCGCCATGGCAGATCATCAAGGACTGATAACAGGGCCACAGACTGTTAAACATGGAGGAAAAGAAAAATCTGTAAGACACACACACATATGAGGAATAAAATAAGAGTCATACTGTGTGCCCATGAACAGGAATAATACTGTGTACCACCAGTACTGCTGCTGCTGCTGCTACTTCAATTCAGCTACTTTTAATAGTAGTGTTAGTAATACTTACATGCATATGTACAGAAGACATAAAAAAAGGGAATTGCAGGTAGAGCAATATGAAATAGACATAAACTATAAGTATCCCCTTCAGCCAGTGTGAATGGGCCTTAATTACAATCTCTTCTTTTGTTTTTGGATGGATATTTCTCTATTGCTGATGATATACCTAGTGTTTTTCCTATACTCTGTTTTTCTTTCGCCACCTCCATCCTTTCATTACTTTCTCTGAATTGATGTCTTCTTTTCCCGTTCTGCATTGACCCCGCTCTCATGCATTTTTAAAATAGCTGCCTATCTTATATCTTCTTCATTATCCTGAGGAACAAGCACTTTTGTGTTTCAATGGAAATGCAATAATACGGAAACAATTACAGTCTCTTACTCCTTTTCTTTCTCTCTCTGTCTTTCTGCTGTCTTCAGGAGCTCCCTGTGTCTTCAGCCATGAGAGAGTGACTCACTGAGAGAAGAGCTGTGAAAGAAAGAAACAGAGGGTGAGAGGGATAAAATCAAAAGGAAGAGAGGGAGAACAAAAAAAAAAGTTACAGGAGATAGGCCATTATGGGGAAGAACGCAGGCCCATCACATACTTTGTACATCCAATCTCCTGAGGGCCCAGGGGACAACACAGGCAGACAAGGAGGGCCCGCCAAGTAGACAAGCCAATGTGATGGGCACAGAGAGGATGGACAACTTGCACTCCCCTCCTCCGGCCTCATCAAGAGTTCATCTCCCTGGAAAGTTAAAGAGAAATGGGAATAAGAAGCAAAAGTGCACAATTTCTGAAGACATGGAACAAGTATGGACACTTTTCCCGTGCACATTTTAAAGAATATTTGATGCTGCATATATTTATTTTTGTATGAACGTAAGAGTAAAGACCCACAATGTTCTTTGGGTTAGCATTTATCGGAGTTATCTATACTCAATTTCTACTTGATGTGCTTAATATTGCTACATGTTGAACTGTGAATATGGTCATCCATCCTTTCTTGAGGACAATCTTACTCGCAAAGGAAGTCCTTGGTGTATAGATCTGAGATAACCTGAGCGGCTGCACACAATCCTATAAAGAGACAGCTACATTCTCAGTCTGCTCTGGGATGAAACTGGAACTCAGTCAATCAATTGTACAGATCTCTCACTGTTATAACTAATATATAGTAAAGGAGAGGTCACTTCTCTTGTTGACACACTAACACAACTGGACTTTTACAACATCAAATTGCCTAGAGAGCCTGTGGATGTTGGGGGAGCAAGAGAGACAAGAGAAATGGTGAGCAAAGAGCCCAACCACTTGCTCACAGGCCAAACCAACGGCAAGAGCACTTTGGCGGACAAGTTGCCCGGGACAATGACTGTGCGCTCTGTTCTGCTCAATCGAGACTCCCCAGATATTGAGAGCCGCCTCAAGCGGCGCCGCAACCGTACCCACCAGGTCCGCTTTAAAGACCTGGAGGATGGCAGCAGCAGCAGCGGCAACAGTGGAACAGGAGAAAACAATAGCCATCAGAGGCCTGCCACAGACTGTGACAGCCCACATCCTCTTCGTAAACACAGCAGCAGATCCCCCCAGCCATGGACCGACAGGGATGGGCCACGGACCGACAGTCTACCTGGCCAAACCTCTGTGGTGGGGGCCGTTCGTGGAGACATGGCAAGTACTATAGAAGTGGTGGCTGCTTTCTTAGCCAGGGCCCCCCCCCATCCATTGACGCCGGGTCCTACACGTCGATGCTGGGCTCCACCCCAAACTAACTCCCTAACCTTGCCAATGACACGCAGGCCCAATACAAGCACCAGCACAGCCATCCAGACCTCCCCATGCTTGAAAAAGCCCCAGTCCCTTTCTTCCACCCACACACGTAGCCACAGCCTTGGGGACTCAGTAGGCGTGGATGGGGATGACGAACATGACTCTCAAGATGAATATCTTACGCACAACCATGTGTTGCTGCCTGGGTCCAAGGACCAGAACGGTCCTCCTGGTCCCGGGGATCGAACTGTGGTGGAACGGAGGTCTAGAGCCTCAAGGACAGACATGAAATCAGCTGTGAGTGTGGTAAAAAGCTCAAGGCACAGCTGTCCCCCTTCAGTCCTTCACAGCACTGAGCCATGTCACTGTTCCTCTGTATCCTGCCGTGATGGCCCCAAGCGGCAGGGAAGCAGCACTCCATCGACGGTCAGGAGGAGAAAGCGGCTGAATAGGACAACAAGTGATCCTGGAAAGGAAGTGCACTACTGCACGACTCCCACTCAGACTGAGAGCCCCAGTCCGTCCCCGCCACTCGCAAACACCAAACTCTGCACCACTCAAGTTCAAACTGAGAGCCCCTCCCCATCGCAAAACTCAAAGTATTGCACCGCCCAAAGTCAAACTGAAAGCCAACATCAGTCTCCACCTTTGAGTGATAAACAATGCACAACCCAAATTCAAATCCCCAACTCTTGTCCAGCCCTACCTCCAAATACGGAACAGTGCACCACTCAAATACAAACAGACTCTCCCCGTCGCTCGCCTCTAGATAATCAACCTTGCGCCACCCAGACACAAACGTGCAGTCCCTGTGCTTCCCCACCTCTCACAGTAACACCCAGTTCAGTGCAAATTCAATCTGAGAGTCCCGTGTCCCCAACTGAAACTCAAGACCCTCCCACCACCCAAATAACTACTGTGCCTTACTCTACCTCTCCCCCACCTACAAGTGCACCACCACAGAACCCTGAACACTGCGCTAAGCCACCTTGCTCCTCTCCAGCCAAGCCAGCTTGCACCACCCCACCTCCGCCCATAGCATTGCCCATTCCTTGCTCCACTTCTGCACCTACTGTTACCCAACACCCTATACCCTATTATACTGTTGTGTCACCACCAACAACCCCCAGCACAGCTGTTGTCTGTGCCACTCCTTCCTCAACTGCACCATCATGTCCCACTCAAAACTGCACCTCTCCAATCTCAAACACAACATCATCCACTCCCTTAACCTGTTCCACCCCTACCCCAACTACAACCCTCAATGTAACTCCCGTTGACCCCCCCAGACATCCAACCACTGCCCCAAACGTGACACATCAACCCCTGTACAATGCATCAAACGCTGCACCTCCCGCAAATCTAACACCCTGTACGTTTGTAACTCAAACTGCCCTGTCTTGCACCTCTATATCATATTACACTACCACACATCCAGCTGGTCCCCATGCCCCTCACCCGAATTCTACTTCACCTTCTTATGCGACTCTAATACAAACTGTATCTCATTGCAACATCCCATGTCAAGCGCTTCAAAATACTTCCTCTGCCAACACAGGCATAACCCCCTACTCCTCCCCCGTCCCAAACCTAAAATCTTGCACTTCTCCGCCTCCACTTGTGAAAACTTATGCGTCCACTCTTCCAAATGTGCAACCGTGTGCAACACCAACTAAAACTGTTCCTCTGTACTCTTCCACATTTCGTGCTGCGCCACCATACACCCCCCCCTCTCAGGCCTCCTACAATGCTCAGGATAAGAGGGGCATTCGACTTCCACCTCCTCCCCCACCACCTCCGCCCTACACGCCTCGTAAAAAGGGAAATGATCCACCAGGTCCTGCGATCCGAACACCCATGCTCAGGGCAGACAGCAAGGCCAGCGAGAAAGATAAAGACAGAGAGAAGGAGAAAAAGGAAGGTATAAAATGTACAGACTCACCCAAGCTCTGTGAGAGAGCCAGCTCTCTGAAGCACAGAGCTCAAACCCCGCCAGTTGCTGTGATGAAGGGAGAGAAGCAGTCCTCCTCATCCTCTCCTGCCAAGGCCTGTTTTAAGCCCAGCTGTCTCAGCTCAGCTCAGGCTCAGCTTGGGGCACTACACAAAATGCTCTGCTCAGGAGCCAACGCCAGGCCCAACACACCCAACAGCCAACACCCTCTTCCTCCAAACCAGCAGGGTTGCTCTGGAGCCAGGGGCTGCTCTGCTCCTGGGGAGCGGTCTACAGCTGGGCCCCTGACTGCCACCCAAGCTGACACACTAAGACAGGTCCAGGAAATCCTGGGGGGGTTAGTGTCTGGGGCAAGGTGTAAATTGGACCCGTCCAGAGTGACAGAAAAGCTCCTGAGTCCCAATGGACCCCTGCATGATATTCGTAGCCTGCAGAACCAGCTCCACAGCTTGGAGGGGGTCCTGGAGACCAGCCAGAACACCATTAAGGTCCTGCTGGATGTCATTCAAGACCTTGAGAAGAAGGAAGCTGAGAGAGACGGGTGAGGCAATATTTCATTTCGGTAGGACAATTTACATTATAAGAATGACAAGGTAATGCCTGCACACTGTCTCCAAACCACAGATCTTTTGTCAGGTTGTAAGATACTAAACTTTCTACTGTTTACCTGATGACAAAAATAAAATGATTTACACTGTGATATACACTTCTCCAGAATTGCAAAATCCTGTCTCATAGCATTCTAAGGTGCTGTGCAGTATTTTGGCTTGTTATTTGGTTTATATTTCATTGCCTCATCAGTATCTGAGTTGTGTTGCTTAAAGCAGAGCAGTTTTCCAAGCAGTTAAGGACTGACACTTAAAAATCAGAGCACAAAGTAAATGTCTTAGAGGGCGTCTTCACTGAAATGATGCGAAGACCATTCAACCTCAGTTTGGATTTCACATTGCAGGGCAAATGAAACCAGGATCACAGTATTGTTCTTTGCACCACATGTCCAAGGTGGTGTTCAAAGTTAGTGTTAACAGTAGTGTGAAATGTTGCATAGCCCAGGGTTAAATCTGGGGTTTTGAAAAGGGTTCGCCTTAGTTTAAATGTAGTGTGAAAGCCCTGGGCCAAAAGATGAGCTATCCCACATTTGAAGTTGTAAATGTGAAATGACTGGAGGCCTCAGGCTAATGGAGCTGTAAACCCAGGGCTAACGGGGGGCTCTCAGCCCAGGGCAGAGTGCAGTGTGGAATACCATCTGGTAGTCTGTGGCCAAGATGAATAGATAGATAGATAGATAGACAGATAACAGGGCGGGAGAGAAGAACAAACAGTAGGAGTACGTAAATTATGAGTGCCTGGTATTTCGGAGACCTGGAAAGTAAATGTCAGCATGTAGCCTAAGTGCCTGCTGTTTTATTCTCAGACAGTTAATTTCTCGAGTAAGATTCAGGTTCTCTCTGCACAAAAACAAATGAGGGGCAGACATTATAATGTGACCATAGCTTTGCACTAGACTGTCTCGTCTCTCCTGGAAAGGAGTAGACAAGTGGGTTGTTGCAGGCATATTATTCCTCACCAAAAAGGGAATATCCACAACCCAGCAGTAATAACCTTCCTGCATCATATGCTGTGAATATTACAGATAGATGGTTGTTGTGCCTAAGCTTTTGCTGTGATGCAACTACTCTATTTATAGGCAATCCCAGCATTGTAAGCATTGTAAATACTTTTGCAACAAAAAGCTGTATAGACAGGACACAATGAAAAATTGGGTAAGAATGAGAAGGAAAAGGAGACAGAAATAAAGAAAAGGAAATACCTGATTGAAAGGAAGACAGAAGGCAGGAGAGCATCTGTAGTTATTTTTATGAAGTCTCATGCAAGTCTCAACTTTCCATATGCTAAAGAATTTATGTCATGTCAGACCACAAGGAGACTTTTGGGAGATTGGTTGCACCTATTTTGCAGCATCTCTTTCCTCATGTATATATGCAGCAGGCGAGGCTAGATAGAAATCAGCATTTGGCTGTCATCATGTTGGTGGATTCAGATGCTCCACGCCTCTTAGTGTAAACCCTTTACCATTCTCATCAAGTCTTTAATTAATCTGCTTCCTACATTGTAAGCTGCTTAGTAATTTCTCCCGCCTTATCACACCAAAATAGTACACGATGCTGGGACAAGAAAACTCTTGGATAGGAAGCGACATACACGGATGGATGTGTGTCTATGAATCCATGGAAAGTGCTTGACTGATATCTGAGCAGCGTAATCCAAATCACACTGTTAACACTAATGCCAACACTATACTTTGACATTTGAACATGTGACTGTGCGATCGGCCGTCTCATAAAGTGACATATCTCGCATGCTCCGGTATAAGAAATCAGTGGTGGGACTAAGTCTAATGCATGCAGACTTGACTTTTACCTCATAAGCATTATTTTATGCCTGGAGTGATATGGTGACTCATGGTTTACGTAACAGCCTGAGCCTGTTGGAAGGGGTATCGTTCATTAAAAAATGATCAGGGGTGATTTCAGAGAGGAGATTGGTATATTTGCAAGGATGTGTGTGTGTGCCAGAAATCCGGTTCGACAAGGGAGAAGATAACCTGAATATGTCTTTGTGGGCTCACACAAACACACACACAACATCACTCTTTTACCCCTGATATGTCATCTCTGTGCTTCTCAACAGAAGACATTCCTACAGGACCGGACAGGACATTGAGAACTGTGGGACCTGCAGGGACTGTGCCTGCATCATCTACAGGTATGTGGCTGGATGCTATGTGTGGATTTCTGCATATTTATTGCTTGTTTTACATGTGAGCAGCGAGAGTGCAGTGCGTGTCTCGGTGCACAGTTATGTGCACCACGCTGTCATTTTGAATCATGTCAGTTTTGGGAGTTCAGTTTTTATGGCTTGGCAGGATCGTCGCTCTGCTCTGTGTGACAGCACAGCCGGATGCAGCACTTTGAGTATGGCCACTCGTTGCGGGTTTGATCACTGAACACAAGTTACAAGAGACTGATTAAGACTTATCCCACACACACTCTCATGCTCTCTCTCTCAAATTTAATGAGGTGAGCAACAACACAGACTTAAGTCGTGCACCCGTGTGAGCTCCCTCTTTTTTTTTTTCCCCTCCCTCCTCCTCTATACTCTTCTCATTTTTTTTACTCTCCTTATCTCTCTTTTACACACACAGATGCACAGATGACACAGTGTCAAATACGCAAACACACACACACAGTTACTGCATAATCATTCCGCTCTGAGATTTGAATTGAAATCAATCAATTAACAAACAGGATTTCACACTTTACAGGAGGGTGAAGAAAAAGCAAAAAGAAAAGTGTGGATTGCTATGAAATTGAAATCCCTGTCTCTTAGTTGTAAATGTCAAAACTGTAAAAAAGGGGAAAATGAGGGATATTAGCAGAGGAGGCGAATCTTGTCGAGGGAGAGGAGAAAGAAAACAGTGGAGAGAGAGAGAGAGGAGGGATGGCTTTCAGAGTGCTTACATGCACAAATATAATTTGATTATGACAGGATTAAGGCAGTACTCTGATTATTAAAACTTTCATGTAAACACCTTACAGGGGTTGTGTTTGTCAAATTATGTAATAAATCTCAGAAAGCATAACCCAATTACCAGGCCAAGATTCATCATCAGTCTTTTTAATTGTGGACTGGAGCTGTGAGATGTGGCATGTATGCACCTTAGACTGATTACTTCCAATGATTTGATTCTGCACACTCACCTACCCACTCATTTATTAATAATACTTATTTATTTATTTATTTATTTATTAATGGCTGTTTCCTGTAGCTACAACACATCCTCAATGTTAAAGGGATTATCAAACAAATGATATTATTGCTGAAGCTGAGTTACTGTAAACCACATAAATGATTCAATCAGACCATTACCCTAACCTGGTTATTCAGTCATTTATTTATACTGTGTATGCAAACCTCCCCCGATCAAGGAACACAAGAAGAAGAAGACAGACAGTGGGGGAGGACAAGAAGAGAGACAGTTGAGGATAAGAGAGTGGAAAGCAAAAAAAAAGAAAAAAGATCTGAGAAAAAAGATCTGAGATTTAGAAATGGAACAAGAGAGAGAGAGAGCTGAGGGAGAACAGGCCTATAAAGAAAATGATTCATTCAGAAACTAAATACAGCTTCATCTTGAAAGATTAGAATATTACAGTGAGGGTTACTGCTCAGGAACGTCAGTCTGAAGCAGCGGTAGTTCCTCATCTTGAAGACAGAGAATAAGACATACAGACTGAGAGAGGAAACGTGACAGTAAATAAGTTATCATTATGGCATGTTGTACTGTAAAAGGCTGTGTTCCTCTCCTAGGTGGCCAGTCTGAAATGTTGCACTGCACAGTCAAAATCCCAAGCCACTGTTTTATGGTCAGATGAGAACTTATCACTCAATCACCTGTCAAGTCGACACGCTTCTTTCATGTGTGACAAGAGGATTTTCCTGCTTTGAAAGGGGAAGAGATTTTCTTTTCTTTGAGGTTCAAGTTGAGCTGAGTCTAAAAAGAGAATTTGGCAGCGACAGAGAAAAAGGTGTTGGAGGGGGGAAAAAGAAAAAAAAAGATAAAGTGAAGCCTGAAAAGGAGTGAGTGATGGAAAAGCCATGAAATCTGACAGGACAGATTCCATCAATTAAAAAGCTTCTTCAAGAAGTCTTAGTCCTCAAAGGAAAGCACAGCTCAGCACACCACACACTATCAATCTACTTGAAAAGCTTATAGAAGAATTTATTTAGAAAAATGAAAATAATTTCAGATTGTGAAGGATGCAGATTCAAGAACATTTGTCCCCACCCAATAAGCTACTAATAAATTTGACCTGAGTAAATCTAAAGCTACACAACTTTATTTTCAAGCTGCTATGATCAATATTTTTTTTATAATAACAATAAATGAAATGACTAGGTATGATGTGAAAGGGATCGCTCACAGAGAAATATCTCCCAATTCTGCAGTTCTCCTGAGCTCTACACAGCGTTACAGCATGTTTCAGCCCATTGTTTTGGGTTGCTGGTTCACAGCTTTACTGTTTTAGCTGTTTTCATTTAGGCTTCTTCTCATTATGTACACATAAAAAAAAGAAAGAAAATCAAGCAGTATGCAGTTCGGACTTGTAATTTACCATTGTTAAAACTTCCTGCTGTATTTCCAAATTAGCAGCTACACAGCTTTAAAATAAACCTCCCCTCAAATACAAACCACGTGTAATAAAAAAATATTGTATAAATAATAAGATTATTATACAAGGCAGAAAATGAAGCAGAAAAAGCTTTTTTTTTAAACTTACAGCAGCCTGTAAGCCACAGCCACTGAATAAATACTAAACAGATACAGATATTAGCTCTGGGTTGTACCAGGTGTTTATGCCAAAGTAACTCTAAAAGCCCACTTCACGCTACCTGCGCAGCATCAAACAGCAGCTAAGGTTAGCAACTAGCTACTGAAGCATTTAGCAGCTAAAGAGCCAGAAAACAGCTGAAAGTGAATATTGAACCTACAGTATTGGGGTGGCCGGAAACACAACTAGTATTACTTAAATCAGCTTGAACCAAAAGGAGAATATTAAGGGGAAAATCAGGGTAAATAGCAAGAAATAGAGAACATTTCTTAAAAAAAAAAAAATAAAAGTCTAATATCAATAATATTAGTATGTCAAGTACAAAACCATTATGATACATCTGTGTCTATGTGTTTGCATACAGAGCTTTGTTCTCCAGTTACTCAAGACATCTTTCAGGGCAACGCTTATATAAAAATGCTAATGACACTTCAAGCATGCAAATGTAGATACTTGTGGCTACAGAATGTAACATTTTGAACATTTTGTACCCAACCAAGACTCATAAATAAGCACTTCATTTGTTCTGCTTTTTAAGGGTCTCATATTACAGGAAGAATAATGCATGATGTATGTGATGTTATTTATCCAGCACCAGTGGCACATTAACTGCATATTTATACGTGAGTGTGATTGTGTGGCCGTGCAGGAGTGTTAATTAGTGAGTGAAGTGGTGATTTTCTCTCCGTTTTATTTTATTTTATTTTTCTGTTTTGCTAATGGCAAATGTGCTGTGTGAAACAAAGTAGGGAGGTCTAACAAGGAACTGTTGTGCTTAATCCCCGTGGAGTGTGAGGAGACGGCAGCCTTAATCAGATCTGTGCTGTGCTGCTTTATCTCTGCTGCTCTGTCTATTGCTCGATCACGCATTTGGCTGGAGGAGCTCGATGGGCTGCTACTCTGAGATGGATTAATGACTCTCTGGACCATACGATTTCAGCTAAACTATGAGTCCACAAAGAGGTTTTTTTTTTCTTCCCAAACACAATCCGTCATCGCCTTCGCTGAACAGCAGATAATTGAGAAAGGGGCTGCTGAAGAAGCAGTCTTGCTTGCTCTTTCTCTCCTCCCTGCTTGCTGCTATCTGTGAGGATGCCACTCATGCTTGTTTAGTATCTGTACTGTGGCATCATTTCACACTTGTATTGTTGTCTCTCTGTTCCTCTCATTTACAATCTGGGCTGACTCTTTAAGCATCCTGTTTGTCAATGAATGCCTCCTCACATCACTGATACGCATATGCATGCCAGTGGTGGTAGAGTGGAGGACTCCTCTACTGAGTCTCCAAGACTCGTAGAACGAAGGCTATAGACTGATCCATTGGGAGAGCTTGAGACGAACATTTTGTGACAGCGCCTACAGTAACAACTCATCACTCGCCATTCTCACCACACACCCATCATGAATCAGCGCTTCCTGACGCACATCTCCACTGACACAACATCGCATGACAGGAGTGGATACTTGCACGCTGTCTTTCGATTGCGATAGACCAGAGAGTGAGGTGGTGGAGCATAAGAGACACTGGAGACTGGGCACCGGGAAGGAAACTGGGATGACTCTTCATGCATCTCAATATCTCCAACTTTTTTTCTCTGATACCTCTTCCGTGTACTCTCTCTCTCTCTCTCTCTCTCTCTCTCTCTCTCTCTCTTTTTAACAAATGCCTAACTCTAGGGTGCAGTGAAATATTCATCCACATAAAAACTTAATCACAGCAGCTTTAAAAGATTTTAAAAAGTAATAATAGTGTTAAAAGAGACCTGGAGACATCTCTCTGTTGGCCTGGTGTGGCTGAAGGATGGCTGCCAGACACGTTTGTCCAATAGATCCCCAGGATGGAGCGGTGCTGCATGTTTTGCATGGTTAAACAGGCAGTAAAATGTAGGCTGATAAGTTTCAGAGAGAATGAATTCATCATATTAAAAATAAATAAATAAAAAATTCCTAATGGCACATGAGGACATGAATATCAGTTCTCTGTACATCTGAGTCAAGGGAATATGGAGAACTCGTACTCTAGAGTGGAGAATCTAGTTGGAAGAACAATGTATAGTGTCTTTGCTGTCACTCAAGGCAGCGCTAAGAGCTGTGGGCCGTGGTGCATGGAGCCCTCATTCACATTACTCCTGCCCTCTATAATGTGCTTCTGTCTACTTCCCCGTCTCCAGAGTGCCACTTCTCAGCTTGGAGTCTCTTGGAGTGAAAGTCTCCTTTCACTGCCTTTGATTCACTTTCTCATGTGGCCCAGAAAGGCATAGCAGTCCAATTCAAATACTCTCCACATGCTCCAAACACTTGCCCATAGCTACTGACAGCTTCTCATTGTCCTGGTTTTATCCAGAGGAATATGCTATTTTACAGACATCAGAAAGA